CACTTAACACGGCAGGAGTGTGATGGTTTACAGAAACCACAGACACACTGAGAGACAGACACTTACACACTAGTGAGCGCAAACACACATGCATGTATGACACAGTCCCCGGTGGCAGAAAGCAGCGTTAGAAGCATTTTTCTCCTCCTTACTCCATGGCAAGGTCAGAAATGTGATTGAAAATGCACCGTGTACTAGAGTAATGTCCAAATTGCAGTAAGCGGAGCATTTAATGAAGGCAACAATATGTGTATAAATCATAGCTGTGGAGAAATCAGGGCGTACAAACGTCTCTACTGACTCTAAATAATCCTTATTTCCTCAATTTTACATATTTTTCAATAGTAATTTATATAATAGATCCTTCATTACAATAGTGCGAATCATATCGCATTTGCAATATAGGTGAACAATCGCAGAAATGTAATATGTATGAGTATGGTAAAGGCAAAATATGTGCAGCTGCAGAATAATACACACTTGAATTGTGTTTCAACAAAGTAATTATTTGAATACAGCAAATCATAACGCATTTGCAAATTGAGTCAAAATAATCGCAATTACTTATTTTTTCCAAATTGTGCAGCCCTAATGTTCGGTACGTATTGCTTTCAAAACGTTATTCACAAAGAGCTTCACTGAGTGGCAGGTTCTGGCTGTTTTCTATTGGTAATTCACTTTGAAAAAGACTCTACTGGAGAGCAGGACAGCTCTGTGGTTAGAGCTGGCGGCCAATAGGCTGTGTTCGCTGCCAAGAACACGGGTTAAACCAAAACAATGTCATCCCCTCTATCTCCCCTCTCAACACTGCATCTCAAATAAAGGCACTTGGGGCCCAGTCAATAATGGGGACGGGAGGACATCCATTGAACTAGAGTAAAGAAAGGAAGGCATGTCACAACAACTGTTTGATGCTTCTATGAAAAACATTCAGGAACGTTAAGTGTGAGAAAAAGACATATTTTGGAGAGAAGTGAAGCTGCATAACCTCTAACTAAAGTTAACAAAGGTCATTTTGGGCGACTATTGAAGTACAAGGAAGGCACGTCACAACAAATGTATGATACTTCTGGGTATTTCACTATGAACAAAAACATTCAGGAGACTTGGAGATGTTATAGAAACACATTTAACGGAGGTCATTTTGGGCGACTATTGAACTACAAGGAAGGCATGTCAGAACAAAACTATGATGGTGTCTATGAACTACATTCATAGAGAGTTTAAAGTCACATTTTGTGGAAAAGTAAAGCTGCGTAGCCTCTAACTAAAGTCACCAGAGGTCAGGTTGGTGCCATGAAGTCTTTCTGCTGACCTTCAACGAGATGCTCTGAAATCCTTTTGCAAGAGGTTAATCTAATAACATGGTGGTGTCTTGGAGCAGACTAATGGTTCCCTACATGACTGCTGCGTCTACAACGTTTGAAGTGGGACAACTCTCCGCCTCTGACGGGTTATATGCCCAAAGAGACTGTTCAGGGACATCTGGTCTGTCTATTAGGCCTCAGATGACTGTAAAGAAGACAGATGGACTAAGATGGTGCTTCTTTGTGGTTGCCAGATATACGGCAGAAGGAAAAATAATCATAATGACGACAGCGCCTCAAAACAAATGTAAAATGGCAAGAAGTGATTACTGGGATCGCCTTGATTGAGTTACTGTAAACACGGAGGGCATAAACAAATATCTCGGAAGAAGAATATGATAAAAAAATACATAGTAATACATCCAAAACCTCTAACACGAGAAGAGCTTATTCAACTAAATCCAACAACAGCTTCTCATCAACTCCCCAGGCTTTTCCATCAACGTAAACAGACTGTAAACAGGTCTAAGAAAGCGGAGACATGGAAAAGGTGAAAAAGAGAAAAACTGGAAGGACTTTGAAACGTGCACCACTCAAACCTCTGTGAATGAGCTGGAAAACGATCCGTGCATAGATAACATTTCAAAGCTCCATGTGGCGCTTTTTCCTAATAAACGTCTCGGCGTCAGACACACGATAACTCTTTCTCTCCAGGTTTTAAACGCACTTCAAATGTGGAGGAAGACTTCCATATATCTGCCTCGTCTGTTACAAACATCCTGTAATCGCCCATCTGATTCCCCTTTTTCCAAATACTCATTAGTAATCCAACTAATTTGACATTTAAAGTGGACCTATCATGCTATATTTGAATAATATAGTGTAGGACCATACCTATATAAGGCATATTTATACTTTTTTTTCTTCAAAATACCAAACAGATCATGCATTTTAGCCATGCCTCATTTTGCTCAATTTGACATTTTTTAGCTCCGTTTTAGCAAGGGCTGATTCTGTGAGAACAGCACCACCTACAGGCCTGGCATATGTACTACAGCGTCTCCAGCGCTTTCGAACGGCAATGGCCGTGGCTGTCTCCTCCTGATTGGTGGAGTTGGCCCAATAGCCGTAGCGCCACCGTCCTGACGTCAGGACAGTGTTCAAATCTGGATCAGTTTTTATCAGATCCGTTGCAGCCCCTTTTTTAGAGATTTGGGTATGGAGGAAAATAGAGAGGGTTGTGTTTTCTGACACTTGGTGAGTTCCCTGGAACACCGGGGACACATATTCATGTAGAAAAGACGTACCAAAGTGCATTTTGCATGATAGGTCCCCTTTAAGGTTTGTGGAGCTGTAAAAATGAACTAATCCTATTTCCCATTTCCCACTTCCGATCAAATAGTTATAGGGTTGTTATCGTGACATTGGTTTCATTCAACGCATGCTGTTGTCGTTAGCTAATTGCACCAACAAAATGAAGCCCTTATTATCAGGGATTAGCCCATGATGTTTGCCCTAATTGACCTTTCAATGACTTCAAGCTTGATTCATCCAAACAAGGGAACGTCTCACACTGGAAACACCTGCAGTCAGTTTCTAAATGATACACCTGATGGGTGTAATGCTGCTGGGAATATGTTTCAAACTTATTACAGCTGTCATAGATTGTCTTTTGTTTTAGATATCAGGACTTATCTCCCTCCCTTGCAGCCATTTGGTCTTGATCATCATGAACGATGTATCATAGTTAAAATGAAAACGTAATAGAGGACAGCCAGACTTTTTTTGTTTTATCTATCGCCGTGCCAAGTTGTGTTTTTATTCAACGCTTCTCCTTTGAAGTCTCCTCCAGAAAACATTTCTCAAATTGTCACATCTCCTGTAATTTACTGTCTTATCGATGTGTTTTAAAGTCGACCCAGATGCAAACAGTGAGTTGGAAAACACTGTAAATGGACAATAACTCAGCGTGACAGTGGCGTTCACCTTTAAAACTCACAGAAAGCTTGAGTGAAACGTAAATGATGCATTCAGACTCACTCTATAACCGTCCAATAGTTTCCCATGTGTGCATTTAAGCATAAGGGAACAACATAACTTGTCAATTAAAAACACGCAGACACCCCAATAACTGACCAGAAAGCTCTCAGTGGGAATAAAGTTTAAACCCCCCCCTCACCTCGTCTTTTTTAAAACGTGTTCTTGTTCGACTGTAGCCACATGCAGCGCAGAAATCTGTTGGCAATTTTCTCTCCTTAAGTGTTTGTGCGTGTGGGTAATTTTCTGCTTTCAGAACCCGAGGAACGCGAGGCAGAGAAATGCCCGACACGCCGAGCGAGACGAGAACACACGGGTGCCCCTTAGAGTATATAGGGTACACACCAAAAAAAAAAAGGGGCCCCCATGCATGCATGCATTCACACACACTCACACACACTCACACACACTCACACACACTCACACACACTCCAAACCCCTGAGCGATCATGTCCAATTTGTAGGTTTGGTTGAGCGTTCGATGCAGAAGGAACAGGCTCGCTGCCAAGAACAACACCACGCTTAGAGCTCGAATGACCATTAAAAACACGGTGACATTAATCATATTTAGTATTTTGTGGCATTTCAGCCAATAAATTAGGGAGATTTATACCATAGGGGGTTTCCAGTGCCATGCTTCAGGGACTTTGGACATGCCACATGACTAGGAGCACGTGATTAACACCGTGACCTTAAGGTGAGCGGGCATAGAGAAAGGTAGGAGAAAAGGGACGGATTGCAGAAGAAATATATATATAAAAAAGAGGGAATAAGACAGTCTAAAAAGTTAGCATGAATGGAGGGTGATAAAGAGTGACAAACCATGGAGTTAAAATGGATGGATGAAGAAAGACATGATGTTAAAGGAGAAGGAAGACTTAACTGAAAACACGTTTAAAAGGGGCGGCTGAAGTCCGATTTAGAAAGTGAGAAGGACAAAGAAATGAGAAGTTACTGAGTGGGTGAGAAAATGCAATTGCGTGTGGACATTTATATTTGTATGGCCTCGCTGTTTGTACATCTGGAGAAGATGAAACACAGAGGACATAAAACAGAGACAGGAGGAGAGGACATGTGTGCCGTCGGCTAGAACAAGAGGGAAGTTAATGGCTGTGGTGATAGGAGGAGGAAGGAGATGTGGCCTGTCTTCTGACTTCAAACCAAACTACAAAAATTGACTTTTAAAATGCAATTTTGTGGTGTTGACAGACACTGCTTTCCCACAATGCAATGCATTAAAGAGAGGGGGGCGCTTCTCAGAGCACGGAAGTACAAAAAAAACGTATTGCTGAAGCTTTTTGTAGTATTGGAAATGTGTTTCAATAGGATTTAACCTACAGCTGCTACAGTAACAGCTAAGCATTACTCCATATAGCTTTTGGAAGAAATATTGTACAAATGACTAGTACAGGTTAATAATTAAAGGGGTCCTATTCTGCTTATTTCCAGATGTATATTAGTATTTAGTGTCTCTACTGTGACATGTCTCCATGCTTTAATGTTCCAAAAAAGTGTTTTACATGCACAAAAACTATACAAGACTACAGAGAAATATGAAGTCAAATTGAAATGTTTGTAATATTTCCCCAGTCATGGAACAATTACAGTTTTTCTCTCACACTTTTGTTGACCACGATGTTTCTCACTTTCTATTAGGTGACAGAGAACATCATCTCTAAACAAACCTTCATAGGTGAGTATCACACACACACACACACACACACACACACACACACACACACACACACACACACACACACACACACACACACACACACACCACACACACACACACACACACACACACACACACACACACACACACACACACACACACACACACACACACACACACACACACACACACACACACACACACACACACCACACACACACACACACACACACACACACACCGTTATTCCTGACTCTCTCTTTCGTCCTCTCTCTCTCTCTCTCCCTCAGAAGCGAGAACCATGCCTCGCTCCTTCAACAACTCGGGGTCAAAGTTCATGACCTCGGTGACCCAGAGGCCATCTGCGCACTTGACCCTCAGAGACACGAGCCCTCAAGGTGAGACGTCGGTCGTTACTGCGTTAATACTCAACGACGTCAAGGGTTTTTAAGGGTTTCTTTGTGTGTGTTAATATATACGTCAAGGTTAGAGGTTTATTAGGTTAGGTTTCTGACCATTTGAACACGGGGTTTTTTTGTGGTGCCAGGTAATAAAACCATAAATTGAAAAGATAATAAAAAAGACGCGAAAGATATTCATCCCATGGTAAACTAGGAAACTCTTGAGACAGAAAATGGCCAGAAAATATGTCTAAACTCGCATGTGTATCGCTTTCTCTTCCTCTAGGGAACACACTGCTTAAATATACTCTAAAAGTATTAAGTAAAACCCTTATTTAATATAAAGGCAAGCTGAGGAGCGTACAGTAAGTAACTTCAGGAGTTTCTGTACAAGGATCACAAATTGAGTTGTGTTTGCATTGAAGCGACTTCTCCTGTGCACATTCCACCTTAATCTCCATAATGTGTGAGTGTTTAGTTGTACATTAAAGGATTCAGCTTCCTTGAGTCTGACCAATTCTTCTAATAAATATCACTTCCTGCCGTGCCTGTGTTAAACAAGGAATGTGTTTTTCATGTGTGTGTGTTATCCAGACCTTTGTATCGTTTCATCTGAGAGTGGCGTGCAAACTGAAGGGTGTTGACAATCTGGCAAAGGCCGACTTCTGTTATTTCCATCCAGCTGACAAAGGGCAAGGATGGTGGTGCGTGCGCCTGTGTGTGTGTCGGTGTGTGTGTGTGTGTGTGTGTGTGTGTGTGTGTGTGTGTGTGTGTGTGTTTAGGGAAGAAGGCTGAGAGGTTCACACATTCAGCCTGGTTTTCTCATAAGGAAGAACAAGACACAAGACTAGCCGACAAAGGGCAAGGATGGTGTGTGTGTGTGTGTGTGTGTGTGTGTGTGTGTGTGTGTGTGTGTGTGTGTGTGTGTGTGTGACTAGACCTGTGTGTGTGTGTGTGTGTGTGTGTGACTAGACCGACGTGTGTGTGTGGTGTGTGTGTGTGTGTGTGACTAGACCGACGTGTGTGTGTGTGTGTGTGTGTGTGTGTGTGTGTGTGTGACTAGACTGACGTGTGTGTGTGCGTGTGTGTGTGTGTGTGTGTGTGTGTGTGTGTGTGACTAGACTGACGTGTGTGTGTGCGTGTGTGTGTGTGTGTGTGTGTGTGTGTGTGTGTGTGTTTAGGGAAGAAGGCTGAGAGGTTCACACATTCAGCCTGGTTTTCTCATAAGGAAGAACAAGACACAAGACTAGCCGACAAAGGGCAAGGATGGTGTGTGTGTGTGTGTGTGTGTGTGTGTGTGTGTGTGTGTGTGTGTGTGTGTGTGTGTGTGACTAGACCTGTGTGTGTGTGTGTGTGTGTGTGACTAGACCGACGTGTGTGTGTGTGTGTGTGTGTGTGTGTGACTAGACCGACGTGTGTGTGTGTGTGTGTGTGTGTGTGTGTGTGTGTGTGTGACTAGACTGACGTGTGTGTGTGCGTGTGTGTGTGTGTGTGTGTGTGTGTGTGTGTGTGTGTGTGACTAGACCTGTGTGTGTGTGTGTATGTGTGTGTGTGTGTGACTAGACCGATGTGTGTGTGTGTGTGTGTGTGTGTGTGTGTGTGTGTGTGTGTGTGTGTGTGTGTGTGTGACTAGACCGATGTGTGTGTGTGTGTGTGTGTGTGTGTGTGTGTGTGTGTGTGTGACTAGACTGACGTGTGTGTGTGTGTATGTGTGTGTGTGTGTGTGTGACTAGACCGATGTGTGTGTGTGTGTGTGTGTGTGTGTGTGTGTGTGTGTGTGTGACTAGACCGACGTGTGTGTGTGTGTGTGTGTGTGTGTGTGTGTGTGTGACTAGACTGACGTGTGTGTGTGCGTGTGTGTGTGTGTGTGTGTGTGTGTGTGTGTGTGTGACTAGACCGATGTGTGTGTGTGTGTGTGTGTGTGTGTGTGTGTGTGTGTGTGTGTGTGTGTGTGTGTGTGTGTGTGACTAGACCGATGTGTGTGTGTGTGTGTGTGTGTGTGTGTGTGTGTGTGTGACTAGACCGACGTGTGTGTGTGTGTGTGTGTGTGTGTGTGTGTGTGTGTGTGTGTGTGTGTGTGTGTGTGTGTGTGTGTGTGTGTGTGTGTGTGTGTGTGTGTGTGTGTGTGTGTGTGTGTGTGGTATTCTCATAAGGAAGAACAGAACTATGAGTGTTGACCTTTGATGTGTTCTTCCTTCAAAAACAAAACGGTTTCTTTCAAAGGTGAAAGTAACAATGGTATTCAGGTCAAACTCCAGCGTCGTCACAGAACACACGGATCTTTAAATGCCTCATGTAACAAAGAAGTAGACATAATACAAGCAATTGTCGACAGGAACACGAATGGCAGCATTTCAAACGTGCAATCTGCCAATCCTGAACAATAGGCAAACATGCAAAACAATAATACAGCTGGAGACGTGCGTGTATTTTAAATTAGTCATTAGCTAATTGCACCAACAAAATTATAATCCGGGATTATCCAATGATGTTTGCCTTAATTGACAGAATAATGACTTCAAACTTGATTCACCCAAACAAGGGAACGTCTCACGCGTCAGTTTTTTGTTTGGGGATATCATGACTCTCTTTTCCTCCCACAGGGTTCCCTCCCTACCCGATCCCCACGCCGGGTCTGCACCAGTCCTGCCGTCATGTGGTGCGCACGTGGGCCAATCAGAGCTTCGGAGCGCACCTGCACAACATGACGCTGTCCAATGGGAAGCTGCGAGTGCCTCAGGACGGGCGGTACTACCTGTACTCACAGGTGATCCTTTTACAAGATTCAAGGTTCAAGATGAAAGGCTTTATTGTCAGTAGAGACAGTAAATGAAAAACTTAAGTCCAAGGTGCCTCCAACAGTGCAACGTGAATATATATAGGACATAAAACAAATTAAACCAATACAAATAGTGAAAGAAATAACAATACAAATAGAACAGTGCAAGATAATGTTGTGAGATGTGCAAGTAAATAGAAATAGTGCAAGAATAGTCTATTATAGTCTATATATATAATTGGAATATGATATTTAGATGAATAAATTAATCTTGAATTTAATCTAATTCTCAGAAAACCACAGTATTTTTCTCGCTTATGGATCGATAAGCTTTAGTTTTGGATTAGTCAGTGTATTAGTTATTTATGCCTTATTTATTCTGTCTCTCAAACACCTGCACAAACGCAACGATCTACTTATGTCTGCTTGTTATAACTGCATTTCGCCATTTTGTTTGCACCATTGAAAAGGCGTTATCTTCTTACTCTTGTGCTCTTACCATGTGTTTAGGTACGTAGTTATTAAACACTGCTTCCATCCAAAAAACTGCATTAAAGAGTCTTTAACTTGCTGTATAGCCACAAAAGTAGTGGCTAGTAAGAGTAAAACAATCCTAATATGTTGTTTATTGATTATCTTTCCCTGCTCTCTCCTACCTCCAGGTGTATTTCCGTTACCCGTCCCCAGCAGCCAGTGACGGAGACCAGCGCAGCGTCAGCCACCAGCTGGTTCAGTGTGTCTACAAGAAAACATCCTATCCGAGCCCCATACAGGTACACAGAGATGGCAACAGTACACACATCCTTTACTCAAGGAGAAGTACAGATACTCGCGTTTAAAAATACTCTGGTGGAAGTAGAAGTACTGACTAAACTTCTTTACTCAAGTAAAAGTAAATAGGCTTTGAAATGTACTTCAGTAAAAAGTACCCATAACTAGCAGCTGTTTTAAAGAGTACCTGACCTCCCTTTATATTAATAGAACAATAATGTCATTGTTAGCTAATGAATGTTTCCATGCTGAACAACGGCAACATGACAACGTTTTCATTGGTCCCTCTTCTTTAGAGAAGACCAGGAAATGATGGATACACGGATCGTGTTCAAATCAATAGGCACGCAATGACTCTAAATAATAATGATCACGCCACCAAACACACATTCAAACTAAAGGAACCAGCCTGTTTGGGAAATGTAAGAAGTAGAAAGTACAGGTATTTGGGTTCAACATGTAAGAAGTAGAAAGTACAGGTATTTGGGTTCAACATGTAAGAAGTAGAAAGTACAGGTATTTGTGTTCAACATGTAAGAAGTAGAAAGTACAGGTATTTGTGTTCAACATGTAAGAAGTAGAAAGTACAGGTATTTGTGTTCAACATGTAAGAAGTAGAAAGTACAGGTATTTGGGTTCAACATGTAAGAAGTAGAAAGTACAGGTATTTGTGTTCAACATGTAAGAAGTAGAAAGTACAGGTATTTGTGTTCAACATGTAAGAAGTAGAAAGTACAGGTATTTGTGTTCAACATGTAAGAAGTAGAAAGTACAGGTATTTGGGTTCAACATGTAAGAAGTAGAAAGTACAGGTATTTGTGTTCAAAGTGTAAGAAGTAGAAAGTACAGGTGTTTGTGTTCAACATGTAAGAAGTAGAAAGTACAGGTATTTGTGTTCAACATGTAAGAAGTAGAAAGTACAGGTATTTGTGTTCAACATGTAAGAAGTAGAAAGTACAGGTATTTGGGTTCAACATGTAAGAAGTAGAAAGTACAGGTATTTGGGTTCAAAATGTAAGAAGTAGAAAGTACAGGTGTTCAAAATGTAAGAAGTCAAAGTAAAAAGTCGTCAGAAAAATAAGTAGTGGAGTAAAGTACTGATACCAGAAAAATGTACTTAAGTACAGTAACGAAGTATTTGTACTCCGTATTTTCCCATTTCAAAACAGACTGTTAATGACTTTCCTACCTTTCTCTCCTCTGCAGCTCCTGAAGGGCGTGGGAACAAAGTGCTGGGCTCCAGACGCAGAATACGCCCTTCACTCCGTCTATCAGGGAGGATTGTTTGAGCTGAGAGCCGGCGACGAACTCTTCGTTTCCGTCTCTTCCCCGAATATGGTCAACGCTGACGACTCCTCCAGCTACTTCGGCGCCTTTCGCCTCGACCTCTAAGAAAAGGAAGAAAGAAAGAGATGGATTAACGGGGTGGAGACAATGAGTGAGGGGGCCTTTTTGAACATCTGTCGATTGGAAAAAAAAGTGTCATTTTTGGGATGATGGATCCTCAAAGTTTGCTCGGACGGATACACTGAAGGATGGAAAGGTTTCGCTTGAGTGATTTTGTCTTCCTTACTCTCCCTTAAGCCAAACTGAACTTTCAAGACTAAGATATACAAAGATACATGTGCAATCACGCGAAAACACGTTAAGAATATGGATTTTTTTCAGGGGGAGGAAAACTCCTTTTGGACGTCAGAAAAGAACCACAGAAAAATCTTACTAGCCCAAAGAATTCGACCACCTAAAATAACACAGGAGTCGCCCACATCTGCTGCCTATATGTGGGAAGCAATCAACCCCTCGGAGACCGAAGAATGTACACACAATAAAAACTCAATCCACTGCGAATGTGGAGAAGGACTAAGGAGTGACAGCAGAAGGAAGTCAACTGATCAAACCAAAGCTTTTTTTTTTGTAAGCGTGCCATGAGAGTTCTGTACATATGAATGGCTGAGAATGAGGTTTATACAATGAGCTGTGGTGATTTTAATTCATGTGTATTTGACCTTGACTGGACTTTAAACCACTTTGATTTTGCGGAGGACTTTCTACACCACTAGTGGATTTTATGCAAAGACATTTTTTAGGAGGAGGATAGCGGATTGTTTTCTTTGTACTGGATACAGTAAGAGGACTGTAAGAAACAACATGGAGTGCCTTTTTGGACAGTCTGTATAAGACATGTTGTAAAAGGACTGAAGAATGAGCCCAGCAGAAGATGAAAGGAGGTATGCAGTCGGTGTTGTTGATACTCTCTTCTCTTGTAAAGAATTTTAAATATCTCGTCTTTCTCGTCTACCTTGTGGAGCTGCATTCAGTTTTATTTTAAGGATCAGTTAAGCAACCAAACACCAAACCAAAAACTCACACAGTATGGGAACAGGATAAGAGACATATGCAAATAGGCTAGTTGCACAAACATGTTCACTGAGCGTAGTTTAGGTGGTTTTCAGATCAAAAGAAAAAGGTTTCATTCAACACTTGTTTTAACATTAGTGGAAGAGCCATGTTTCTACTTGGTGGTAGGAGCTGCTTTGCATTGAAATATTCTCACTGAAATGTTATTACAAATACATAGAGTTAACAGTTTGGACCTGCAAATAACTCGAATATATCAAATGTTTCCACTATTATTTAAAAAAGTCTTCTTTAGAATTGAAATATTTCATTTTTTTCACTTTTTGTGCTAAGCTAAGCTAACCGTCTCCTGGCTGCAGCTTCATATTTAACACAGATCTCTGAAATCAGTATCAAACTCATTGAATTATAAGCAAAATAGCATCTTAAGTGTCAAACTATTCCCTAAATATGCAACCAACAGTCACTTGTGAGTTGCCAAACAGATGTGTTTTATCAAAAGTGTCATAGTAAGTGAAGTGCTAACAAGAAAAAAAATGTCATTTTGGGGTTTTTATGGAGTCGAATTGTACTTTCAGACACACTTCCAGCTGTTGACCAACAAATGAAAACCAGTCTTTTGGAAACACTGATTCATTCACAGGGACACATGCAAACATTTTGCCCGATTCTGAACGGAAACACACAATAAAAGCACCAAACAGTTCAGCAAGCGAACACAGAAAGGTGCATTTTGGGGAAAACACAGATTCAGTAATAAGACGCAGACGCATATAAAATATTTGTGAGTGGTGAGAGAGGCTGTGCAGACACAAACCATGCACAGACTAGCACAGACTCAACCCTACACGCCTCCTTTCTGGCACCAACATGTACACACACACACAAAAGGAGATACACACACAACATCCAGGCTAGTCTACGCTCCACAGACACACACACACACATACACACACACACACACACACACACACACACACACACACACACACACACACACACACACACACACACACCATGCAGTGTCACATCCAGTGTAAGAGACACACACTAATTTCTCAACACTGTCTTCCCTCCCTGAGCCATCTGGTAGTTGTCAGGCAGAGGCATGCAGGGTGTGTGTGTGTGTGTGTGTGTGTGTGTGTGTGTGTGTGTGTGTGTGTGTGTGTGTTTGTTCAGAGGGCTCGGCTCACATGGATTATTCATAAGAAACCAGGTCAAACTAAAGCATATTTCTTTGTTTGCGTACCTTAAAATTGGTTTTCCCTGAAAGGTTTCATATGCTTACACACACACACACACACACACACTTTATGAATACATTGACATCCAGGTTAATCCCATTCTCCTGGCACTGGGGTTCACACCTACCTGTGTATATATGCAAGGTTACGTTATACTGTTGGTTTGTGAGGGAAGCTAAGAAAACACAACACATTCTGCTTTAATTTTGTTTGATTGCTGTTTTAGCTGATTTCTTTGCACCTGGTCACGTTTCTGTTGGTCTCTCTCTCACACGCTTCATCACATCACACATACCAAGCTCACCCTCCCTCTGTACACTCAGTCCGTTTATTATCCAAGGTTCACTCCAACAATCTTTTCTTGCACTCTGACCAATACAAGCAGATCACTGAAACAGCCATGATGATAACACACACACACACACACACACACACACATCACAACAGCGTAAAGAGAGTTTCTGCATTGAATGTGTGTTTGTACAGGACAGTTTTGTAGCTGTGAACATGTTTGGCATTGTTGCTGAGAAAAATAAAAAATCTTTGAACCTTCCCTGTGTATGTGGAGATTTTACAATGTGAATATGTGATGTAGTGAGCAAAGAGACCTGTAACTTCAACTGGGAAAAACCTGAGCTAAAAGCTGTAACATAAGAGTCGTAATGGTAAGAGTTACGTAAAACAATGGGCTACAAATTGGTTGAAAAGCACAAGTACTTTTGGACATAAATTCATCAAATAGAGTCAAACATTTGTTGAAAACTGGATAAAAAGTCATAAAATAATCACGAGATGTACCGTTAACACTGGGCTAAAGCCGGTGAAAAGTGAAAGTATTTTATACATAAAGTCATTTAACAAATCAATAGTTATGTACAACAAAATGTGTTGAAAAGCACAAGTATTTTTGGACATAAAAGTCATAAAATAATCAAGAGTCCTAATGGTAAAGCTGGGCAATTTGTTTTGACGATAACTGGATAAAAAGGCATTAAATAATCAAGAGGTGGACCGTTACAATTGGGAAAAAGTCTGTGAAATAGAAAGTATTTTTATACATAAAAGTAATTAAAAGAAATCAAGAGTTATGTTAAAAAATGGGGTGAAATTGGAAGTATTTTTAGACATAAATACATCAAATAATCAGGAGTCCGTATGGTAAAACTGGGCTTAAAGATTGGTTGAAAACTGGATAAAAAGTAAACAAATAATCAAGAGATGTTTCGTGGGCTAAAGTCAGTGAAAAGTGAAAGTATTTTTATACATAAAAGTAATTAAAAAAATCATTTGTTTAATGGAATTCTTCTCAAATCTATGTATTTCTGTTGCACAGCATTCGCACCAATACATCTTTATTCTTCAACTTCTTATTTCAGTTCTTCCGTACGTTTTTTGCCGTCGAATAACTTCAGCATACTTTCAGCTACAGAAACCATTCGAATATCAAAAATATTCAGCCTTTTCAGCACATGATGGGAAACTTTCAACTTTTTCAAAATATGTTGTACTTTTTGAAATATTCAGCTTTTTAAACTCTTTTTTTAACATGTAGCTCAATGGGAGGAGCCTTCAAATCCTCTTGTACTTACACCGTGCGCCTAATGTTTCTCCTTCCACATACTTTCAGCTACAGACTTCATTCCAACTTTAAAGTGATCACAAGACCTTCAACTACAGGCCTGGTTACAGAACAAAATGCCTCAGGGTGCATCTGAGATTAGAGAGGGTGCAGTGGTAAAGTGCTATTTCTTTTAGTGGGGAGTGGACCTAACACACTCTAGGCGGGTCCTCATCTCCTCTAAGGGGGTCCTCAACTCCTCTAGGGGGGTCCTCACTTCCTCTAGGGGGTCCGGGGGCATGCTCCCGTTTGATTAAAAGCATCAATCTGGTGCACTTTGAGAGCAAAATGAAGAGATCTATGGATACCTCTCAACATCCATATGAAACAGAACTGTAAACAGATGTACTTTTTCTTTATAGATATTTTACAAATCACTCCCCTTTTAAGACCGAAATGTCTACATGCATAGCAGAAGATGGCATCTTTTTTACATGAATATTCCAGCCAATCTCTATTTTGAAACCATGAGCTGCAAAATGAGCGCCTTACCCCACTGTACAGGCGAGTTGGGTACTTTTTTTAATATACCTGGGCAGGCTCTGTTTTGCCAAGGTCCTCTGGCACTTGCGGGCCGCTGAAGGGGTGGCGGTGTTTGGGGCCTCCGTGGGCGAGGCAGGCAAAGCCGGAAAAGCCGGCGAGTCGGGCGGGAGGATGTTAGTGTCCACGACAGTGGCCGCGGGTAACGTAATGTCCCCATGATCTGAACTGTTATTACAGTACCTGTAGTAGATGCAGTGTTACTGCTGGCGATAAGGGCTGGTTGTTTTAACCATTTTTTGATGTCCATCATTGAGTGCTGTGTAAGCACCTTGCAGATGACGAACGCGCAGCGGCACAGGTCACGCGCACCTGACATAATAACGTTACTTACCGTTTAAATTGACCAAATAAATGCAGCAGACAATGTTATTTAACCACAATTACACATTTTTTTATTTCAACTATATTCTTATTATTATTATTATCATTACTACTATTATTATTATTATTATTATTATTATTATTATTATTGTTATTATATATGTAATATTTTTTTTTGTTCACTTTTCATTTTTCAAATGAGGGTGCATAACGACTCAACTGAGGGTGCAATGCACCCTTATGCACGCCCGTAGAACCGGGCCTCATCTATTCAAATTGTATTAAGCTTTTTTATATCTTTTGAGATATTTAACTTAGTTTGGAGCTCAGTAACACTCCTGAGACATAAAAAAACAATTAAGCAAAACAATGAAGCAAAATGCCTCTTGAGGGCATGAAGTGACAAAAACTTTCAACATGTCTCCATTAAGGCCCATTGTAAATTCAGCCTGATCTTTCCTCAGAGCAGCAGCCGCAAATCTGCCAAAAAAGCAGTGCTCACTTGGAGGAGACAGGTGCAGAGCACACAGACCTGCTGCTGCATACAGATGTTAGATGGCTAAGCAGAGGAACATTTTGGCGAGATTCACTGAGCTGTTGCTTGAAATCAAAGACTTTCTGAAGCTTTCAAAACATGCAGAATATCCAAAACTAGATGACCACCAGTGGCTTTTGGATTTATTGTTCCTTACAGACCTCACTGGCCTGCTCAATGAGCTTAATTCAGAGCTGCAGGGTAAGGATACAAATGTAATTAACATGATCAGTTCAGTGACCACATTTAAAAGCAAGCTAAAACTGCTGTTCAGTAGGCTGCAGCGCTGTGACCTGCGCAACTTTCCTCACATGCAGGCAGAACTTCGTCAGAGCAAAGACGTCAAGCAGCTTGACAGTACACGGTATGAAGAGCAAGTTCAGAGCATCTTGACAGAATTTGAGAGGCGTTTTACTGACTTTTCATCCATTGAACCCATTGCCAGCTATCTGTGTTTTCCATTTGGTGGAAGTATTGATGTGGATAAGCCCTCCCTCTTCTTCCTGCTCTCAGACACAGCCAGCTCCACTCTGTATTTCCTGGTTCCTCCCCTTCAGATCCACACTGAGGAGGATGGGTGTAACCAACATGTGGGTAAAGAACAAGAGCTGATAGGCCACATTCACCGCCCACACACCTGTTGTTCAGATAACCTGTCACACTAGTTTCAGCTCTCAGGAAGTGAAACTCACACACTCGCTGCTACTGAGAGGTGAAATGGCGCAGAAAGGAGTTCAGCTGGACCGGGAAATGTTATCTTGTCCCATCTGTCTGGATCTACTGAAGGATCCGGTGGCGACTCCCTGTGGACACAGCTACTGCATGAAGTGTATTAAAGGCTTCTGGGACGGAGAGGATGAGAAGAAGATCCACAGCTGCCCTCAGTGTAGGCAGAGCTTCACACCGAGGCCTGTCCTGCTGAAAAACACCATGTTAGCAGCTTTAGTGGAGGAGCTGAAGAAGACTGGACCCCCACCTGCTCCTGCTGATCTCTGCTATGCTGGAGCTGAAGATGTGGCCTGTGATGTCTGCACTGGGAGGAAACTGAGAGCCTGTAAGTCCTGTCTGCAGTGTGTGGCCTCTTATTGTGACAAACACCTCCAGCGTCATAATTAATTACCTGTCTTAAAACACAAGCTGGTGGAGCCCTCCAAGAAGCTCCAGGAGAACATCTGCTCTCTTCACGACGAGGTGATGAAGATGTTCTGCCGCACTGATCAGCAGTGTATCTGTTATCTCTGCTCTGTGGACGAACACAAAGGACACGACACGGTGACAGCTGCAGCAGAGAGGACTGAGAGGCAGAGAGAGCTGGAGGGGAGTCGACTAAACATCCAGCAGAGAATCCAGGACGGAGAGAAGGAGGTGAAGCTGCTTCAGCTGGAGGTGGAGGCCGTCAATGGCTCTGCTGATAAAGCAGTGGAGGACAGTGAGAAGATGTTCACTGAGCTGATCCGTCTCATGGAGAAAAGAAGCTCTGATGTGAAGCAGCAGGTCAGATCCCAGCAGAAGAGAGAAGTGAGTCGAGTCAAAGAGCTTCAGGAGAAGCTGGAGCAGGAGATCTCTGAGCTGAAGAGGAGAGACGCTGAGCTGAAGCTGCTGTCTCACACAGAGGATACCAACCAGTTTCTGCACAGCTACCCCTCACTGTCAGCCCTCAGTGAACCTACACACTCATCCAGCAT